CCCCCCCCAGTTTCTCAGCAAGTAATTAACAAAAGCAATTAATAAAACGCGTTGACCCTACGAATGATCGTATGAATCGACGCGAATCCTACGTCTCATTCGAATAGAAATATCCTTACTTTTCGCTTATGAGATTATTCACTGATATCCCCTTTATTCCGGTAATTAATCGACACAGATATTAACCCTCGGCTATAAATATAATCTACAATGATGGATACTATTTCTCCTTCTTTTTCTACGAAAGCTTTTATTTCTCTTTAGAATGTTTAACGCAGACTTTAGAGATTTCGAGTCTGATTCTGTTTGATTCTTCTAAGGACCTGGATAAACAGAATTGAAATATTTGAACGGTACTGACATAATTTTTTGAAAATTCAACAAATCCAAGTGAAGCGTAGGATGTGCGATTCGTTCTAGTTAGTTGTAAATTTAGCTGTAAATTAACGGAAATTCTACATCTAAATTCCGAAGCTTGTCAAATAATTAAGCAAATTAATAATTAATAATTAATAATAGAGCGTTGTACGTGTAATATATCTATATTATATTTATTTGTGTGGCTATGAACAAGGCACGTGTACGAAGAGAATGCGTAACCGAGATTGCCTTACCTTACTAAATCTCTAGTACTCTCACTTTTTATTTGCGCCAAGTGGTCACACCAGTTTGACAATGAAGACTAATAATTATACAGGAAGAAAAGGAAGCTCGACATTCCGCGATAGTTCTCCGGTGACCGTGCGACTTTCCTTAATGAGCAGCTCCTACAAACCGCAACCACGTGAAATAATCCCATTTTGTTTATCGCTAAAACTTTCATCGATGTTTACATAATATTGTCCATAAATACGAAGATCGTTAGAATATACATATACGTAATTTACGTAATTTACGTAATTTACGTAATTCTATAATTCCAATAATACTATTCTACGCTGTCAAATAACGAATCAAACGTTTTCTTCAACCAAGAGTACCACGATTCTATTCGAAACACCAGTCTATAAACAGAGCGCAATAAATTAAGAATCGCAATTAATAAAACACTAGTGAGCAATCGGCAAAACTCGTTCTGTTATCGCAATAGAAAGTTATTGCATCGAGGAAAGTTTGTCTAGCAATTATCAGGATCTAAGTGCCAAGGTTTCTTGTATCCTGTAATCGTTTCCTTGATTTTGGGAAGAAAAGCGCGCGTAATCGCCAGGATCGAATACACCATGATCTTCAATGGTTCATAATCGATGTGATAAAACGTTCGTTGCCTATATTACGTTTCTATTTTTAGAAAAACTTCCAACTTCTACCAAATAATTTTAATACGTTCAAGCTTAATTTTACAAAATTACCGATTCCAATCTAGTTCAAGAATGTCGTTTAAAGTTATTTGTTCCGTCTACAAATGGGTAAAGTCAAAAGAGAAAAAAGAGAAAAGTGTTTTTGCTTTCAGTTTGCAACAGTTATACGGCACATATATAGAGAATGGTATTCTTATTCTACATGCATGTCGTCATCTCGAGCCCTGCCACCAGGGACAATGCCATTGCCATAGTGAAACAGTGAAAGTATGGTCATTTTATTTCTGTCGTGCTTTTGCTCTGTTCTACCACTACCCTCGATTTTGACATACGTAGACACGAATACGCGATAACATTTTCTATCGCAATCGGTATTTCCCGGTTTCAAGTGCTCGACCGAGATAAAATCTGAAACCTTATTTTCCTATAATGTCATTTTATATAATTCCTCACAAATTCCTTACAAATTCTAATTTAAATTCTAAAAACGTGTAGCAAACCTGTTGTATGTATGTTATCCCTAAACACTTTAGAATGCCATTTTAATATCTTATACGTGAATTTCAATTTCAACTAAACATGAATTCATTAAATGCGTTTCAGCGCTTTACCAGATGTATTGGTAATTATCTGGTTCGCGTCGATTGTTCGCGTTAAGTCAGCGATAATGCCTCCACCATGGGCAGATCCGTCAAGCAATCCCTGCGCCGCTCAACCACGTGGCTGGCAATTGTTATTTTGGCCGCCGGATGGAAAGTGTTACAAAATATTCCAGGCAGGTGCTGCATTTCTCTTTACAGAGTCATTCGAGTTCTCTTAATAGAATGTACATTAGAAAAGCAGCTTCTCGTGTTTTTTTTCTTTTTTTACTTAACCGACCGACATTGAGTTTACTTGGTCGGGAAATATAATAAATAATCTATAATTATAATTTAATAGACTATAGGCTTGTTTGACAGATTGGTGCACCATGCCCAGAAACAATGGAACTAGGTCCAGCTGCAGGTAGAGGTGGAACTGTAGCTGAATGCAGATGTCCTCCAGGAACCGTGCAATCTCCTAGAGACGCTCTTTGCCATAAAATATATACGAGAGCATCCTGCTCGAAAGGACAATTTTTTGCACCCGTTGCAAAGACTTCTGGCAAGTCTAGGTATTACGATATAACGAATCTAACAGATCTTCATACAGCGTAACTAACATAAAAAGTTTCCCTCTAAATTTAATTTATTTTTTAATAAAGGTGGGGTGTCTGTCATGATCCAGAGCCATGTACGGGGAAAGGAGAAGTCTACTGGCCTAGGGATGGCAAATGTTACCCCAAATATAGCAAAGGGCCATGCCCAAAAGGTGAACTCCTTGCTATAGACGAAGACGGATTAACGGTATGTTCCTGCTCTAGAAATGGAGAACTTGGACGATATCACTGGGCGGGTAGTGTGGGTGGTTGCCACGAACATTACACTAAAGGCCCATGTACGGAACCTGGAGAATTATTTTTACCAGGTGGCGTATGTGGCTGTCACTCTGAATTACCTCATTACCATGAACCAACTGCGATGTGTTATCAATTAGGTACTATCAATTTTTCTACTATTTATTGTTACTTTACATTATTATATTGTACTCGTTTATTAACACAGGCGGTATCGGTCCATGTCCGCAAGGGCATCACTTTATTGTAACAAACACGATAACCAATGAAGAAATAGTTCAAGCCAAGTGTGTATGCAAGCCAGGTCATGTTCTCTATGAAAATGGATTTTGCTACAGACTTTACACAAAAGGACCTTGTGAAAACGGCTATATGCTAATAAATTCGACCACTTGTATTCCTGTGCCTTGTAAACGGGGTCGATTGTATTTTTCACAAGAAAAGACGTGTTACAAAATAGGAACCAGAGGACCATGTCCGAACGGACAAGTTGTTTTATATGATTATAATATACGACCATCTGTTGATGGAATCAGTTACAATGGAGTATGTGGATGTATAAATATACTGACCGATTCGAAAAAATGTTCCGAAGAAATTAACGATAGCTGCGAATCTACGCCCGGAATGGTGGAAATAAATAAAACCTGTTACAAATTATATACACAAGGTCCGTGTACTGCAGGAGAATGGTTGGTTGCACGAAGAATGCCAAAACAGAGCTTATGGAAGAACGAAGGATCAGAGCCAAGGGCAAGATGCGAATGTAGACCCGGATACAAAAGAATCACGGACGGTCCACAAATTTCTGAGTTAGAAAGTAATAATCTCTTCTCCCTGGGTGGCTGTCAGCCACCCACAGTAAGTTTAGCTAAGTTTCTCAATGGAAGAATAAAGTCGATAAACTTTTAAGCAAAGAGGTCAGACTGCGTATAATAGCAATAATAATATGGTAATGATAAAATGAGCTATTTGATATGCACTTTTTTTTATTTTTTTTTTTTTTTTTAGATTATTATGTGTAAATAACGTTGTATAAAGGCTGCGCGTGAAATGTTCTCAACAATCTCGTGTAAATTCCTCGAATTTCTATTTATTTAATATCCTAGAGCTATGAAATCTTTCGTTTAATTCCATAGTTTAAGTCTATACCGTCTTAAAATTTGTTATGCAGATATACTCGTATTAATATAATTCTAGTACTTATTCTTAGTATTACTCTATTATAAATGTATGCGAAAAGACTTTTGTCAAATCTAATAATTAAATATCACCTTTACTGCCAATGTTTTGTAAATATATACAATTTATGGTGTCTCTTTTAGAATATAGTAATTAGATTTCTGAAAGCTGATAAGATTTTCTAGAATGTGTCAAATTTTATAAATACATACGATACTCACTGATTTTTGTGTTGCAGATCGTGAATCTGTTGCTCGCTTCCTATTAGTTGTTCTTCTTTCATCAGAATTTCTTTTTCTAGAGTAGCTATCCTTTCTGTCTTCTCGTCCAATACCATCTAACAAAATTCACTTATTCATTACATCATACGTAAGTGTCGTTGGATACTTTGCAATATAATTGTATCTATTACTCACTAGCAATTGATCTTTTTCGTGATCCAAATGTGTCATATTTGCTTTAAGATTGTTAATTTCTTGTTGTAATTCTTCCACTTGATTTTCTAACTCCAACTGCTGCCGTTCCATCGTTCTATTACGGTCCAACGTCTTATTCAGTTCGGACTCCGACTGTGTCAATTGATTCTGAGCATCTCCCAAAGCCTGATCCGTTTGATCTTGTAGAGCTCTATCATATTTATTAATTATGTATATGTATCTACTGAATACTAAAGAAAATCATAAGGAAATATTTCTGTGTTATATTCTCTACAAAGTTTTTCTTTCATGAAAAATATTAGGTCGTCCGAAAAGTATCTTTCGTTTTATAAGGAAATAATGGATGCACAACATTTTCCGTTTTATATTATTTTATTGAATTACGTATGATCAATTTTGTTCTATCAAAATAAAGATCACAACGTTCGACAGATTAAGTTTCATATTTGTATAAGGATGCATCGTTGTAAAAAACGTGTTTGTGAAAGAAAGACACTTTTCGGACAACCTAATAAGTAATACCGAAGTTGAAAATATTGTGTTCTTTGAGTTCCTAATTCTTGCTTAGTCCGTTTTAACTCTTCTCGCAAATCTTGTAATTGATCCTCTAGTCCATTGATAGTTGCTCTTCGTGCTCCTTGCGTAAGTAAAAGCTCTTGTCGTTCCTTTTCTATCTGTTTCAATCGAGTTTCAACGTCGGTCAAGTTTTCTTTTAGACGACGTTGTTCAGATGTATGTGCTTCCGCAGCCATCTAATTTACAAATTTCCATAATGAATTTGCCATATATGAAATTACTGCCGTTTGCCGACAAGTCCGAAGGGATTCGGCCACTGCAGTACGAGAACTGAATTAATTTGCATTTTTTAAAACTGGTCTCTCCAAATACGAATTCTGTGAGGTGTCTTATTGTATCTTAATTACTCTCCTTGTTCCATATTCTCATATTCAACGTACTCACAGAAGAGCGATCCGAAATCAGATAGATAATAGAATTTCAATTTGTAGAATGTGATTGTAAATAATTTTTCAAGTACGGCGTAGAAGAAAATGTTTAATATGTTAAAAGTGAAAATTACCGGACGAAATAAAAAAAAAAGAAGCCTCGATGTTTATAAGAATGTGAACAATTCTATTGTAATTCGCCGACAACTTCGGCAGTTAAATCCAATTTTAGATAAATAAAAAAAAAATATTACGTCGCAATTACATTTCGGATAAGCACAATGCAAAATATCGGTTATTAAGAAAATGTTATTAGCTACATGTGAAAACAGAACCGGGTGTGCTCACTTGCTTTGAAGCTTCGAGAGCGCGCAAGTACATGAAATTGTCGGTCGAAAACGCGGGATTCGCTTTTTCGACGATTGTTTTCTCCTTGTCGTGACATCAAATTTAAAGTGCTTCAGCGACAGTCAAACCGCTCTGTGTTCTCGCTTAATTATATTTCTAACAATAACTCATAGATGACAAACGACATTTGATTGTAGTAGCAAGCGTACACGTATGCTATTACCATTCTCATATATTCTCCGAGTTAAGTGGATAACATGTTCTCATATGACACGATAAGGAGCATTTATAATAACAAATTTACCTATATTCACCAATAAATAAACTTTACGAATTACCTTTAATCTTTCACGTAATGCATCGCGTTCTTCAATTAAACGATCAACATCTGCCCGTGCAATGTCCCGTTCATGTTCCAGACGTTCAATAATATTCTAAAAAATGTTACTTTTATAAATTTAATTAGAAATTCTTAAAAACATTGTATTCATTTAACATTTCAAATAAAGCTATGAGGATTTTCTCTAATTATAAAGTAATTTTAATAACAATTTTCTGAATTGCAATTTTTGCAACAAAATTATTCACACCCTTTACCTTTGTCTTGCTAACGTCTCTCATTAACGGAGGAGAACAATTACAGCCAACACTACGTTTGCATACATTGCAAGGTCGATAAGGTGCTTTATGTTCAGTTTTATAAGTTTGTAAACGTGTTTCTAAATTTGTTTTCTCACGATGCAGGTCTTTCTTTTCTCGCTGTAATTCATCTAATGCATTTTCCTTTTCGTTTAACTCACATTTTAATTCTCGTATTCGCGACCATAGGTCAACCTATTTTTAAAAATAAAGATAAAATATTACATATGTATTAAAGAAAACTGTGCGAAAGGAAACGGGTAACACTTTACATGGTCTTTTTCAATCGTTTTGTTATAGTTATCCTTGATATTCTTGTATTCATTTTTATAAAAATCTCGTTCCCTTCTTAGTTGCTCCACAGCTTGTTGTAACTGATAAAGTAAATACTAGTTAATATATTTCTATAATTACCAAACTATCGTGCACGAAAGAAATATTTTTCATGAAACATACATCATTTATTTCAATTTCTTTTTCATATCCAGCATCGTTTATACTTTGAAGAAGATCTCTTCCTTTATATGCTTCTTGAAATTCTGTTCTACCTTGCCCTGATGATTTTTAATAAATTGATAAATCTTTGAATATAGAATTACTCTATTTTTTTTATTATATTCTATATTTTATAATTTTACCTCTATCATAATCATTCTTTCGTCCCTTTTCTTTAGCATCTTTCAAATTTATGCCGACATCGTCTAATAATATTTCCCTTCTATTTATTTGTTCCTTTAATAATTTATTACTATATTGTAATTGAATAATATCTTGTCTTTGTTTTTCATTTTCCTTAATCAATCTTTCGATTTCATCATTTAAATTTTTTTCTATAATATTATTAAAAGAAAAAGCAATACTGATTAACTATGAAACTATTTAATTATATTTATAATCGTCATATGAAAATAAAAGTTCTGTTTACCAATCACTGTTAGCTCATTTATCCTGTCAGTCATCTGTTTCTTCTCATCTAATGTAGATTCCAAAGTACGTTCAATAGTATGTTTCTCCAGCTTACAAGCTTCTAGATCTGCTCTCAATTCTTGTACTTCTCTACGCTCAACAGTTAATTCAGCTTCTAATGCGTGTACTCGTGCCATTACATTCTCTAATTTTTCCTGCAGGAATATAAATTCCATAAAATAATTATAATGCAATAAATTGTAACTATTAATTACGATATTATTATATTATTATTATTATTATTATTATTATTATTATTATTATTATTATTATTATTATTATTGTAAATATTAGGGTGTAGTCTTTAAAAACGTTATAAAGATTTATTACCTGCAATTTAGAAACTCTCCTATTGTTTTCTTTAACTGCAGAATTACAATCAGCTTCTACAGCTAATGCTATGTGATCTATATCTCTTAATTCCTTTTCTAATTCCTCATTTCGATCAGCAAGTTTAAGTGCTTGAGACATAGCATCGTGTTGTTTATTTAAAGCTTCTGTAATAGAATATAGTTACGTACATAAGGAATTTTCTTAATTTTACATTAAACAGACAACATAGTTTGATTACCTTTTAATTGCTGTTCCAATTCCAATTTTTCTTGTTGAAGAACTTTTAATTCATTACCATCTATGTTATAATTGGACATTACAAAACTGCTTTCTGCTTTTTTACAAGCACAATCTTTAGAAACAGCCAGATACGGTCTACCTCCTTCTAACATCTTCTTCAGTCGCAAAATTTCTTTTTCCTTCATAGTTAGCTATAAACATATTTCTATAGTATACTTGTATCTATTCTTATTACCAATTTTTATCAATTTTTACAAATTTAAATAAACATGCATATATTTAGTGCCTATACATCCTTTACTGTTAGCTCTAATTAATAGTAATCAAAATATTCAATATGTTATATACATTTTCTTACATGCAAACAGGAGCAATTTAAACTCATGCAGATGTAATTTAACAGTAATATACCTGACTTTTTAATGTTTGTACATTGTCGATTTGTAAAGAGAGATCTCCCTTCAATTTTGTTACCTCATGACTCAAACAATTCATCTTATGATCTGCCATGCTTAATAAATCAACAATTTTTGGTTCTGCCACACTTAAATTTGGTAACGGAGTAACTTTAACTCCTGTTTTTGGTAACGGTTCACTTTCTATAACTGGTCTTCGTAGTGGGAAAACAGGACGTTTCTTAGAAACTGTAATGGTAAAAAAATAACAATTTGACAATATTTAAAAGCATTTAATTTTACATATTCATATTCTAAAGTCGTATTCTAGAATCACGAACATCTTGTAAAAGAATAATCTCAAACATATCAAAAAATGAAAAGTAATTTACCTAGGCCAACATTACTGACGGATGGCTTTAAACATTTTCCTTGGAGTTCCAAAATTCTTTTTGATTTCTTAGCAGATAGAGCTTCTAGCTCTTTAATCCTATGTAAATTCCGAGAAGATGCCAGTTGAAGATCATTACATTCACGCTCTAATTTATATATTTCCTTCTTCAGGTCCTTAATCTGCTTTTGATGACATTCCTTTTCTTTTATCAAATCTAAGTGAAGCTGGTTACATTCTTGCACCAGCCTTACATTATCACATTTGTATGGATCAATTGTTGATTGTAACTGAGTATAAGCCTATTTATATGATACAAATATTAAATTATGTAAATATAATAACAAAATCTAATAATATAATTTTCTCTTTATTATCTTTCGATCGAAAGATATTAAAATATCTTTCATATTTCCCTAATTGATTATTGTATAAATGGTATATTCATTGTTTCATACAAAGGGTGTTTTAGAAATACATATTTATATTAAAATTAAAAGTAAAAGATTTTAAATTACAAAGATACAGACC